TAAAGAAAAAACAAAGTTTATAATCTGTATGATCTGTGATAATACTCTCATAAAATAAAATGGTTTAATATGAATTATAGAAAAATATCTGTATCACCCAATATTAACTAAAGACTGTATAGTATTGTTAGGTATTTCCACGAAAAATGTGATGAATTCCACTTGGACTGATTTCTGTATGTAGTGATTCCAAGAAGCGAAGAAAAAACACGCTACTACATTGTTGGTAAATCATCAGCACGATATGTATGCCAAACTGATAATTTAATCATTATATGGAAGCCACAAGTCACGGCCCATATGCACATACAGAACAGAAAATCCCCATTTCTTCGCAACGTATCGCGAAAACAGAATACTCGCGTATCTTATGTGTTTTCCCGGTGCGGAAGTTACGTCATCATCAAGGATGGGAGAATGTCAATAATTCAAAGGAATGTCAGACATTCTTTGAATGAAGGAGCAGACTTACTAAATTCATTTTGTCCATTTTTTAAGATTTTCAACCAAAAGTGGCATTGCACACTACATACAGAGAGTTACAATATTATGTCAGAAACGACTTTCCAAATTCATTTTATCTCATTCGAATTAAATGGCGCAAATACCTTAGACTTTTATGTTCATTGGCAGTAGACAAACAAACTAAAGTATGTTCTTTTGTGTTGTGGACATACTACTGTTTGTTTGACATTGCTAGATGAAAAGTGTTTTTTATGTACTACAATTTTTCTATTTTTGAATAATACTACTGATACTACTTAAAATAATGAATGGAACTACGACTGGGGACGACGTAGTTGGGAATACGCACCGTGGTAGCAGAAAAATAAAGAGAAATTTCACGTCTAAAGGACAGTCAACAGTTTTTTTCAATTTTTTCAGATATAATCCAAACTAGATTTTTGTTTACTCATCAAGCGCTTGATAAATAAAATAGACTTTTTTCTTTCGAGCGAACAAGCAGGTTTTCGATGAGGTTACGGAACAAATGACCATCTTCTAACAGTCAAGGTCCTTATCGAGAAATGCAATTGAGTATAATAGACCACTAATGCTTGTCTTCGTGGATTTTGAGAAGGTCTTCGATTTGGTAGACCAGTGGAAGCTTCTAGAGACACTAAGTGAGAGTCGTATCGATCATCGATACTCCTCAATCATAAGACATATATATGATAATGCCACGGCAAACGTCAGAATATCGACAAATTCAATATCGATCGAGGGGTAAGACAAGGCGTCCCCTACACTGTCCCCTAAACTATTCGTTGCTGTGCTAGAATGTATGTTAAAAATGATAAACTGGGGAGATTCAACAGAAATTAACATCGATGGCAAATTGATAAATCATCTCTGTTTTGCAGATGACATTATTTTAATAACAGACAACATACAGGAGGCACAGAATATGCTGGATATGCTGAATGATGCTTCGGAAAAAGTCGGTTTGAAAATTAACTTGTCAAAGACACAATTCATGACAAACCTAGTACTAAGTGGAAATTTAAACATTAATAACATACCTTTGGAACAAGTGCATATATATAAATACTTAGGGCATGAGATCGGTATTAGAAGGGATAATCAGACCCAAGAAATTCTACGAAGAATAGGTTTGTCGTGGGGGGTATTCGGAAAATTAAGGCATATACTGAGATCTGATATTCCCATATGTTTAAGAAGAAAGATCTTTAACCAGTGTGTCTTGCCTGTCCTCACGTATAGAGCTGAAACTCTTACTTTGACAAAAAAGAACATACATAGAATACAGGTCATGCAACGGAAAATGGAAATGTCCAAGTTGGGAGTTACACTCAGAGATAAAATACCCAATCATACAATACGAAATCGAACAGGAGTAAGAGATGCGGTGATATCTGTCTTACATCTTAAATGGAATTGGGCAGGACATGTGGCTAGGATGACAGATGGACGGTGGACAAAGAGACTTGTGGAATGGAGACCGAGACACGAGGCCTATAGAAGCAGAGGACGACCTCCAAGTCGATGGACAGATGACATTAAGAGGGTGGCTGGAAACTGGATTCAAGTGGCACAAAATAGAAGGAAATGGCTAGACTTAAGGGAGGCTTTTGTTCAGTAGTGGACGGTATAAGCTAAATGATTTGGTTTGGTTTGGTTTTCTTAAGTAATAAATCTAGTGAAACTTACAAGATTTATTACTTTATAGTATTCTAGATTTCTTTTTACTTGAACCTAGATTGCTCAAGACAATTTGTTAATAGAAAAAAACTTAAAAATGTAAATAATGATTGTTTAAAAACGGTGGAAAATAATAAAATAAAATATCTTCTTTATACAACGTTTCGTTTAGATGTGACTGTTATCAAGTGTGAACTAATCGACATTCTAACGCTACTGAGTTTATAAAAAACTAGTAGAATTTGTAATACTAGATATTTGTCAAGGTTTAGAGGTACCAGGCATGAAGTGGCTGGTACTGTCGTCAATCAGATAGTACATTCCGTAGTCTTTTCAAATCAGATACGATGGTCTAACTATTCTCTAACTAATGCTGCACTGAAGTGCATCTATTTATAGAATATTGGTCTCGTCATGATATTCTCTACAGCTTTAATCTTTTGCAGGTCAAGTCATGACAGATATCCAAAAATGAATATTTATTACCAGAATCTTCCTGAGAGTTGTATTAATTCTCCGAGTTATCATTTCCTTGCTAGTTTAATGTTCTTCCAGTTGTTGATAAACGGGTATGTTGAGAATGTCATGGATCATACGAAATATTCAGTACCTATAAAAGAACTTTTATTCTTGTTGTTTATTTTGTATTTAACACGAATAAATTTTCAATACATAAACGGGGATTTTTCATTCAAAAATATTTTCGTCAAACGTATTACAGATATTACACATTTTAATATGGCAACACTGTCGCTTTCCGAGTTAGGGAAAATGAGCGTTTTATGCGTTGGCCGCAGAACGAGTAGGGGCTACACCGTACAGCACTTGAGACGTAAGGGGAAATCAAATCAACATTGTCACGAATTTGCCCATTAGATTGCGTATCTTCTCAATTCTTTTAATCAACGGTATTAGGCAATGATAATAACAAAAAACTATACAGGGTGCTACAAATTCGAGGTACGAGCATTGGTGTCTCGGAAAGAGTAATAGCTACGAAGATGATTAAATCGGCGCAAAGTTGCCGCTTTGGGATATTCACCAAGATGCCATCAAAAAAGTTTTAAAAGTTTCCAGGATTGCTGAGTTTTTTGGGAAAAACGGATTTTTTTGATAATCAATTTTACTTTTTCCTGACGTTATTTTTTAGAAAATCAGAAAACTAATTGCACATTCTCATGGCCACTTTAATAGGCCTATCTGAGAGTATTTTTAGATTTTCAAATTAGCTGATAATTTGTGAGATATAGAGGCCAACTTATTTCTTTTAAATACGGACCTGCATTTTTTATTTTGGGTTTTGAAAGAACTCAGTCTCCTGAATACAATGATGTGCCACACATTATACTTTTTTTTGTTTTGAATATCTTAACAACAACAAAACTATTTAATTATTATTTAAAATAATTTCAAGTACGACTCTGGTTTTTTAAATTATTTAATCTGATTATATTCATCGCAGCAATAACTAATTACTAATTAACATTAAATAAGGGAAATTGAGCCAATCAAATAAATTATATCCAGGTCAGCAATTTAAAGCTGTTATTTTTAACTTTTTTTATTGTGAATTTGGAAATCTCAGTATGCGATCTAATAATATGCATAATATTAATCGTATCTAGTTATTATAAATAAATCAACTTCTACAAACTAGTTTCTAATGTTCTATATGTTCGAAAGCGTTACCACTCTCCCTACTGCACAAATTTAGTTTTCGTTCAATTTTATTTATAGCTCTTTGAACTTTCTTCTTATACTTCCGAAAGCATTTTGTATATTATTTTTTTATTATTTTATTGCATTTGATTTTCCATATTCAATATTTTACTCCACGCCATTGTTGAAAGCTTATATTGTAGCCAAGTTTGAAAGCTTATATTGTAACGACATTATAAGCACACATATATTGAAGACATATATTGTAACGATAACTTGACAATAACAATATTGTAACGATAACTTGAAATAAGTTTAAATAAATTGTGTTCAAATATCCGAAACAAAAAAGAAATATTAAGTGTGGTATATCATTGTACTCAGGAGATCGAGTTCTTAAAAGTAAAAAATGTAGGTCCGTATTTAAAAAAATTAAATTGGCCTCTGTATCTATAATTATCAGCTAATTTGAAAATCTAAAAATACTATTAGATAGCCCTTATAAAGTAGCTATTAGAATGTGCAATTAGTTTTTTGATTTTCTTAAAAGTAACGACAGGAAAAAATAAAATTCATTTTCAAAAAAATTCGTTTTTTCCAAAAAACTCAGCAATCCATGAAATTTTTAAAACTTTTTTGATGACATCTTGGTGAACGACCGACAGCGCAACTTTGCCCTAATTTAACCATCTTCGTATCTATTACGGTTTCCGAGATACCAATGCTCGTACCTCGAATTTGTAGCACCCTGTATAGACAGTTCAAAAGGAGATTCAAAAGAATTGCAGATATGGCTATCATAAACCGTTGACGTTATAGTTATAATAGACGTATTTAATGAAACTTAAATAGTTCTTTAATATTAACATAGAAATACACTTTACTACATTACGTAGTTATTAGCAAACAACGAGTACTAAAATCGTAATAAATTATGAGATAAATCAACCTCAATCCAAACCGCTAATTCACTTCGCCAACCCGACCCTGGTCAACAAACTCTCGGGATAATCCTACCGCCACCGATGAAGAACCACCAAGAACAGACATAAATTCGCCTATTCTTTCTCTTTCTATTACAAAGAAATACGAGCTTAACAGGTGGTACGTATGTCGCAGCCGGTAGTACCATCTACGTAATTGTTTCTTAACGATTTGAGTACTGTCCGTGCGCGGATTCGGCGTGTTTATTTGATTTTCGGCTTTCCGTCTGTCTGGAAGTGAATTTAAATAATTCGCGCGTGTTGATCGTCGAGATTTGTTTATTTCTATTTTATATTTGTTAGTATAGTGTGAATTGGTTTTGGAATTTGTCGAAAAATAATAAAAAGGTGAGTAGATTTATTTTATAAAATTTTTATAAAACTTAAATTTGTTAAAATTATTTAATTTTTTCTTATCACTGATATTTTTATTGTTTATATAATTTCGATTTATTACAGCAATTTTTATATCTAAAATTTTATTTAAATTATTCTTTCTTGAATTTTTGTTAATACCATTTTTAAAAATTTTTTAATTCACATTTTTTAGTTAGTTTGCAGTTATGTTTTATTTTATTATTTCATTTTGATTAATTTACTCTTAAGACTGTTTTTTAATTTTAATTAATTAGTTTATTTTTCTTTTTAAAATGAATATTTTCTTTACAACTACCCCTATAAGTTTATTTGCTTGGTTTGCTATGAGTTTCGGTCATGAATAAATTTTTATATTTATATTTTTTGAGTAAGTCTTTAAAAAATATTTTTGATACTTCCATGTAATACTGAATTATACATAGATATAGGTCAAAGAGATAGACTTTGAATTCAGTAAAATAATTAATATTCAATATAATTAAAAATAAATAAATAAAAAAGAAAATTTTTAAAATGAGTTATATTTTAGAATACTATATACAATTAGAAGCATAAAATAACACAATATTTTGTTTCAATTTCACCAAAATAATTAAAATATTTCATATACAGTTACTAGATGTGTAATTGTCCATGTTTAATATATGAAATAAAATTCAGTTAAATTTATTGTAAATAAACATTTAAAAATATTTTCTTGCATTTTACTGCTTCTTAGTAAAATCTATTTCATAATATTTTCTTGTAACATAAAGTTTCCAAGAAAAATGCCCATTTTTGTGCTCGTTACTACATATATGTATGTACTCAGCTTGCCCCCTGATGAAGAATCATATTTTTAACATAATTCTGACATAATTAAAAGGATTTTTATTATTAAATAGAAAAATTAAAAAAATATAATTTATTTAAAATATTTTTTATCAGATTTTCATTTTTAAGAACTATAATGTTTTTCGAATATACATATTTTTTTGATATTTAATTTTATGTACACAAAAAAAATCTATTAAATTTAGTTCAATGTTAATCTCTAGTAAAAAAAATAATTGAACCCATAATGATCTTGTAAAAACATTTTTGTACCACTTATTCTTAAAACAAATTTCATTTTTTGTCATTACATTTCAGAGTCATTAGGTCAAGGATAAAATTTCGCATTCTTTAAAAACAATATTTATTCTACTTTATTAGCACCTGAAAAAATATAATGTCCTGTTTAACTTTAATTAAAAAATTAAATAAAAAATCATTGAATCATTAAATCGATTTATCAACAGATTGTTATAAAAATTATTGGGAGATAAAATTTTTAAAATTTATTTAATTCATCTCAATTAGCACTTAAAAGAATTCTGAATTACGCGTTTTTAAGTAATTTTTAATTAAATTTGTAATGTCATTTTAATATGAATTTACCATCAAATAATTCAACATTAAATGAGTATTATGTTCATATCTCCAAATAAAATAATGCTAGGGTCCCCATATACGTAATATTAATTATTATTTGAGTTATATTGCAGAAGAAAATGTCTATGGTTAATAAAAAAGACAGAAAAAAGTCTAGTGAAGAAATCTGCATAATGGATTACGCAAATAAATACAAATATCTACATGTTGTAAATAGATGTGTGTCTGCATATTTTATTAGTATTAATTAATCTAGCTACTGAACTTTATGTACACATAAATAGAATGCAACTCGCTTATGAGCAGAAAAAATCCAGTAAAAAATTTACACCTCTCTATACACGTGACTTTTTTTACACTAGTCGTATAGTCATATTTTGGTCGTGGTCACAAATGTCTGTCTCAAAAATATTTCTCACTTAGTATGAGCTTTATACAATTATAATAATAAAGTTCTGATAATAGAATATGCCTTTTGAATTGAAAGTAAATTCATGATTGCATTATCAGTCTAAGTCAGTCTATTTAATCCTATTAGTAAGTAAGTAATGTACAACGAACTAGTAGACAGAAAAGACATTCTAATAACACAAAACTGGAAATAGTAGAAGAAAATATATATTTCGGACAACGAATACACAGCTCGGGATCTCTACTACCAGAAATCAACAGAAGAATTAAGTTAGTATGGAGTAGGTATGGAAGAAACTCGAACATATTCTAACATCTTCTAGAATGCCACTTTATATAAAGAAGAAAACATTCAATCAATGTGTAGTACCAGTCATGACCTATACTTGAGCAACCGTGTACACTTAAAACGGACGTTATGAAGAAAATGCAGGTCGCACAACGCTCAATGGAACGAAATTATGCGGGGAATAACCAAGAAAGACCTTAAAAGAATAGGGTGGATACGACAAAAATCCCAGGAAATAGATGTCATATACAGAATCAAATCCCTCAAGTGGCAATGAGCAGGACACCTGATAAGGAGGGACAACAGATGGACCACAAAAATTACAGCATGGTACTCACGAGGAATTAAGAGACCTAGAAGAAGACCAAACCTGAGATGGGAGCATGATATTAGGAAATTAACAGGGATAACTTGGTTCCCGTATAACCAACAATAGACAACATTGGGCTCAACTACAAAGAGAGCATCTAAATAAGCGAGGGAGGCTTATTGGACCATTATTGGAAATGGCTTATTGGAAACGATGATGAACATAAAAAGTGTTCTAATATCATAATAAAATGTTAAAACTTTGTACACTTATTGTTATTTTATGTTAATATTTCTATCTCTGTTTTAAAGTGTATTTTTAAGAAATGGGCAAAATAGTCGAGACTGTTGTTTTCAACAAATCAGCAACTTAGAGTTTCCAAAATGAGCAAAATTTTGGAGATTTTCGGTCCAAAAGGTTCTTCAACCGGCCACTGTTTTCGTCAGCAACAAAAAGTTTAGTCGATCAGTGGAAAGATCAATAGGTTTAAATATTTTGTCTGTGTTTTTGTTTTGGAACAGACTCCCCAGTTTTTTCTATCTGTATTTCGTGTGTCAAATCAACAAGTTTAGTTTCCAAATTTATTACTGACATTCTTATAAAAGTAGTAAAAGAATCTTCATTTATCCAGTCGGTCATGATTTTACCAGTTCTATAATTTAATCGCCGTCTTAAAATGAACTCAAACTGTGCCTTTGTCTTTTCAGAGTTTGCTTTTTACACGCAGTACTTTGGTACAGAATATTAAACTGTAACTTTGGGCTATAAAAAATCTATACACAATATAATAAACAAATCGTCAGGAAACATTGAATGCATGATTCAGGAAAGATTTTCAAAACCAAAGACGCGGTTTCAGTCCATTCAGTAATATTCGAGTTTGTTTTTGAAACTAAAAACATGTTTATGTTGCTATTTTTCTAAACAAAACTAGTTGTAATTGAGACTGACTGATGGAACTCCCCCTTAAATAATGTACCGGTTCTTCAGTTGTCATTCGAATGCCTCTTCGAAAAAAATTCGCACCTAGTAAAACAGGTTTTTTATGCATATGAGCTTCAGAGATTTGTTTGTGCTTATATAGTAAACAAAAACCCAAAACCCAAACGGGTCTCTCGCTGTTGGAATTACATGTACATTTTCTTGGCAGTCGTTGGGATCAGTCGACTATAATTATATGACTGACATAGACAGTCTTCTTTCACAATTTTAGCAGTACCTGCACATTTTTTACCCAATAAGACACCCCACGCATTCTCCTTTTATCATTTTCTTATAGTCTAATAACTAGGAGACTGAACCTTCTATATAGCTTTGTCAATAGCCTATCATTGCCTAGTACAAAAAATCGCACATTTGCCAAGCTGTCGACATAAAATATGTTCTTCATTTCTTCTTCAAATTGACACAATCTGCTCATGGATTTGTTCGTCAATCCCATCAGTTTTAGATACCTGTTAATGCCCTTTTAGTAGACCCACTAAAGCTTTGGCAGTCTTCTTGCCTTTGTTTATCGGATCTGCCCTAAATTTTGGCTACTATGAACTTTTTCGCTTGTCTCTGCCCTGATGAATTCCTCTACCATTCTAAAGATTTGTTGGAAATTCAGCGTTTTGTGGTCATTCTGTAGGCGCTGTTGCAGCGCCACAGAAGGGTTCTTGGGCTACGAATAGCACTGACGAGCATTGCTTGGCTATTTTATCTGTCATTCTTTGAATGAAAATCACAAATGTATAATATTAATTTAAGAATACCGGCTATTCAGTAAGAAGTGATTTCAAAATATATTAAAAAAACAATAAACTTTTATTGGAGCCAATTACTTCTGCAAATATTACCTTGCAATAATAGAGTGATAGTTCCCATTATTCTTTTTTTTTCTTTTAAATGCAGAAATCTTTAAACGTTCTTTATGTACCAAGGATAGTCGTTAGACTCTCAAGAAGCATTAATTTGAATTACAAGGCATTTTTTCTTGTACCTATATATACCAACAGCGAGATCAACTGAAAGTGTTAAATTCTTCGTTCACCCGTAGGTGTTAAAACATACTTTTCAATTTTAATAGTACCATAATAAAATTTGCTATAACCAAGTTTTATCTTCATGAGAGCTTTGATTGTCACAATAATATCCACATTATCCACAATTACATATTTGATTGTAAATAAAAATTGTTACATACTTATGAAATTCTACTTTAAATTCTAAATCCAAATAAACTGACCAACATACTGAATATTTATTAGCTATTTCAGATAGAAATACCGCAATGCAAGTAAGTATAGCAATAAAAATGGACAATTATATATTTGTTTGTTACGTTCAAATAGTTTTGTTTGCGAAACGACCTCCAGTTATTATTTTACATTAATAGTTTGTTATTATAAATAAAAACTTATATTATACCAATAATATACATTATATGGTATCAATTTTAGGATAAACTATTTTTTAATGATTTGTTTTTTGTATATTTCTTAATTATATTTTTTCATTTATCCATTCTTGGTTAGATTCATTTTCAGAGACTTTTTTAACACACTT